GGGAGGGGGTGGCCCGTCCTTGCCCTTCTTCAGCCCTGAGGTTGTGGCTATGTGAAGGACCTGCCTTTAGGACACAATCCCCTACAGCCACCCCCACAAGGCAGGACCAGCAGAGCGATGGGGAAAGGCAGAAGAGGGAGGGGGAAAGATGATCTAGTGGCATCTCTGGTAGGAAAACAGCGAGAAAACTTCCAGGAATGTGAAAGACAAGTTTTGACCCAACACTGTATTTTTCAACTCCAGCACATTTGCAAAAACATATACAAATGTGCACGTGTGCACACACACACACACGTGCACACACACAGCTTCTTTAGGGTTTCTCAGTTAACACTGGGCACACTTCACAGGTTTATTTCACAAGTTTCTCCCCTGTGAACCTGCTGTAATCACAGTTGCCTGAGAAGCCTTGACCTTCATTCAGTGAAACCGTGGCAGTCCTCCCATTTTCATGGCTACAGGGGAAGTGCCAGAAGCCTTTAGCCCGCAACTTCTCTCAGCAGCAGCAAGTCCCAGGACTGCTGTCCCCTATGCAACTACTCGGAAGGAGCTCCCACCAACCAACACAGCAAGTCATGTTTCTGAGGAAAAATGCTTCGTTGTTAGAGACCAAGCCATCTTCCCCAAGGAAGAGAGGGGCGTGCATGTGTGTGTGTGTGTGTGGGGGGGTGTTGTTTCTTGATTTTTAACTTATTGTCAATCCAGTCAGCAGATTCAGACTCAGTTGGGATCCTTCAAGTGATCCTATTTCAGTCAGTTCAGATCTCCTGATTGGATTTGGATTTCAGAACTGAATTGTCAAACTGATCCAACTCAGAAAATGGGTCAGATTCAGAAAAAAGGGTTTTCTATACATTGGATCGATTTGGATCCAAGAGAGAGGCTTCAGTTCAGAGTCAGCCTGATCGTTTCAAAATGAACCTCCAAATCCAAGAAGGATTTGCTGCCAGCTGAGCCTACAGCCAGGGGTTTTCCTCTGCTTTGCTGCCTTCCAGTCTTTTGCTCAGTACTTTTCTCTCCTTTTCTGCATTTTGCTCACCCTCGGGATGAGGCTGTAGATACACGAGCTTGTCAACAAAATATACTGCATTCATACCCATAAGGCACTGACCACGTGCAGTTTTTGGCTTGTTTCTCAGAGGATCTTCATGAAATATTTTTGGGTTGCATTTGGGAGATGCATGATGCAATGTTGGCAAGCGCTATCTGTCTTCCCAGTCAGTCAGATGCTGGGGAAATATCTGTTTTTCAGGAAGCCATGAACATATCTGCAGCTATTTTGCCAGAGAAAGCGACTCGGTGGTTGTGTCTGTGGAGTAAGTAATCCCAAATGGGTTTTGTAGCCCTATCGCAAATTGTCTTGGAGACATCAGAGTTCAGGGAAGGCAGCCAAAGAGAATGAGCTGCCATTTCATCAGCTTCACAAGGCTAGGGCACCCCACCGACCTCCCTAGGCCTGCATGTTTCCCCCCACAAACCTTGGGTGAGGCTCCCCCAACTGTCCTCAAATTCTATTCTTCCAGATGATATAAAGGAAAGCAGAAGGGGAGTAATCTTAATCATTATGCTTAATTAGTATAAGCTGAAGGAAATGGGGCTAGGCTCCATCTCAAAGGCATCCCAGTTGCCCTAAAGAAGAGATTAAGGTCACAGACCTCTAAAGCTGCCTTTCCCTTCGTGACCACTTAAGATACGGGCTGGGGACCCGAATACCCCTGGGCATCTGGAGAGTGCCATGGCTGGGGAGGGCAGAGGGGAAGCAGCCCATATCGGTGGTCGTGCCTTGCAAAGGACAACCTTGTACTTGGTTAACAAAGCCAAGAGAAAGACAGGAGGCTTAATGAAGCAAGAAGCACTTAGCTAGGCTAAGAGCTGGTAGACAGATATTACTCCAGCAACAGACCTTTTGAAATGGAAGGTTTTCAAAGCGGTGTTCTCAGTCTGGGGTCAGCTACCCAGATCGTCTGGGAAAATTCCTATCCATGACTTCTGTTCCCCATGACGTCTGTTTCTCAAGTGAGTACTCTCTTCTCTAGCCATCCAAGGAGCTTATATTGACCTCGCACCTTCAATGCCTAAGCTGAATCTTGGGGAGCTTTCTGCATCTTGATGGAGCAGATAAAAGTCTTCCCCCTGTTTATATTGATTTCCTCTATTTCAGGTACCGCTTGGCTCCTGAGCACAGATATCCTGCCCAGTTAAATGATTGCCTTGCTGCTACCACACACTTTCTGAAGGTTGCAGAAGACTTTGGGGTGGACAGCACCCGTGTCATCATTGCTGGAAATGATGTGGGTGGAAATCTTGCTGCCAGAGTTTGCCAAGTCATAGCAAGTGGATTGGGCCCCACAAAAGTACATGCTCAGATCCTCATCTGTCCCATCCTCCAAGCTGTAGACTTCAACCTGCCTTCCTACCAGCAGAACCGAGCTGTGCCTGTTTTATTCAGAGAACGGGCTGCTTTCTATATGCTGCAGTATTTGATGGGAGAAGCTTTGCTCCTGGAAGAAGTCTTGGAAGGTTCCCACATCCCAATGAGTTTAAAATTGCAGTATAGGAAGTGGCTGAGTGCAGATCACCTCCAGAAAGAATTTAAGGCCAGGGGTTATAAACCTACTATCTTCGTTTCTTCCAGAGATGAAGTCTATGAAGCAGTTAAGAGCCTGACTTTGCCAGAATGTTCACCACTTTTGGTGGAAGATGACGTTCTTTCTTTGCTTCCTGAGACATTCATTTTGACCTGTGAATACGATGTCTTAAGAGATGATGGACTGCTCTACAAGAAACGCTTGGAAGACAAGGGCATCCTGGTGACTTGGTGCCATATTGCAAATGGATTCCATGGGATTATAAACTTTTTTGACAGAGGCTGGTTCAGTTTTCCGTCTGGGAAAAAGGGAATGGATGATATTGTCAGCTTCATTAAAAGCTTATGAAACAACAAGAGTAACAACAGCAACAACAACTTCCCTTAGATCTTGATATTTGTGATATGTTTGGTTGTGAGCCGCCCAGAGTCCCTCCTTGTGGGGGAGTTGGGCGGTGATATAAATTTGATTTATAATTAACTAAATAAATAAATAAATATTCAGTCAGGACATAGAAAACATACATTTGTCATGAATTCAGTCCAGTTAGGACCAGCCTGAGCACAAAGCACTGAATTACTTTGGTGTTTAGTAGTAACCAAGCAGAGACATCCTCTGGCATTTCCTCCTCCTCGTCCTCATTGGATGGGATGCCAAAGCCCTCGCTTTCCACACTTCCTGCAAAGGAGGGGAGAGTGTTGGTGGCGTTCTCTTGGGTGGAGCGTGGGGCTTTCACACTTGCGTCATAACGTGGTGGCCAAGAGATGCGGCTATGTTGTATTTTCTTACAATGCTGGATTCAGTGTCTGCTGTTTTAATGGATTACTCTAAATTAGTAGTTCATTGTGGTATCTTAAACAGACACGGCATTTGTTTTGTTTTATTTGCACACTGACTTATTTGGAGATTGCATAATAAATGTTAGAAACAACATTATGGAAACCAGTCCGTGCAGATTTATTTGTGTGATACAATTCAGGAATAAAATACACGGCATTTGTTTTGTTTTATTTGCACACTGACTTATACACGGCATTTGTTTTGTTTTATTTGCACACTGACTTATTTGGAGATTGCATAATAAATGTTAGAAACAACATTATGGAAACCAGTCCGTGCAGATTTATTTGTGTGCTACAATTCAGGAATAAAATACAACTAACTTGCTCTATTATATTACCACAGCAACTTAGTTTTGTGCATAATCCTTTTGCAAAGAAGACAACCAACCAAATTTAGGTTCAATAAAAGCTGGAAACCTTTACAAAGAATCTGTGGGGAGGGGCGTTGCTTTTAGCTTCTGCATATTAAATGTCGCGCTCACGGCTTTGAGCTGTATCCACGTTTACACGCCCATGGAAGAGGCTCACCAAATCAGTGGCACTTTAGTTTACAAGTTAACGTATCCTATTGATTTTCACCTAGACTTTCCAAAGAACTAGAAGCAAGCCCCGGCGAGAGCCCTGTAGCCCTGCATTCCGCAGAATCAGCACACTGATCGCATCATGCGGAATCTCTCACTGCCATGTCACAGGAGGGTATCCGTGGGAACGGACAACAACAGGGACCTGAGGTGAAGAAATGCCGCCGGTTCAACTCCAACTCTAGTTCCAGAGAGCAGTACCCAGAACCTTTTCCAGCAGCTCTCCTACTTTGGCAAAGTAGGAGGAAGTGGGGGGAATATGTTTACTCCGTATAGAGATGTTCAGGAATGCACCCTTCCCAGCTGGAAGATTCAGCCAAATTATTCGACTAAAGTACTGATCGGAAACTGGGTAGAGGAGAGGAGGAGGGTAAGAAAGCCTGGTAGGCAGAGGAAACCAGGGTCCGTGGACTCCTGAAGGGAGAGTCCAGAGCTGAGAAACTGGGTGATCTCAGCTTATTTCAGTGACGACTGTTTATTTGGATTGTTTCAGTTCGGCTGCAATAATGAGGGGACCGGTCAAAGCACCTACAGACAAGATTTTGTTAATTTCCCAACTGGGACACCGGACCGAACTGTGATGCGGGGGCTTATGAAGCGGTTGGAAGTGAGTAACGGGGATCCTCGTTTGAGTCTGCGGCCTCAACTGTTCAGGACGTTTTAGGTCCACTTCCTGGCTGAACTGGTCAAGGTGTGTGATGCTGCCAGCTGGGGGAGAGCTGTGTTGATGCCATCTCTGTCACACTGACCCGCTGCATCCTGGCTGCATTCGCACCACTCACTTAACCGTGTCAGAGAACAGAGTCATTTTCTGGGTCTGCGCAATACACTAAACCCTAAACTAGCCCAATGGCTGGGCTGCACACCAAGAAAAGCCACCCCAAGCCAACCAAGGCTAAAGCACACCAAGCGTAGCAGTGTTCGTCACTATGTCTGCACTGTCCTAGCGAACGATGTTTTGTGAATACAGCCTTGATGGGCGGGGCAACTGGTCCCGAGCACTCCGCCTGCCTCCTCGGGCGAGCAGGGGCTTGTGCTTGAGTTGCAGCCCCGGACCTGCCATGGCTCTCTTCAGGTAGGCCATCCAGTTTTGGCTGTACGCTTTTCCCGAATTCTCAGCACGGATTCGACTCGGGGTTCTGCCCTCCGCAGTCCAAAGTCCTTATCTACTGGTCCCAATTCACCTCGTTATCCCAGCCACCCTCAGGCATGATGCGAGGGGGACCTGCAGCCCTCCTGCTCCTCCGTCAGGCTCAAAGAAAAGGAAGGCCCACCTTAAGATGCTTCTTGTTGCATTTTAGGGCCTGCCAAGGAAGTACATCTTGACCCATTCTGAGGAGGCAAAGCATCACCACCTGGTCTCGCTGTACGACGATCAATACAACAGACACGGCTGTAACGCCCTGCTGCCACCGCTCCGCAAATGGAATCGGCACAAAATGGCATGGACTCCAGAGAAAACAGACTATCCCCTTGTTGGTAGGTCCTGGGACGAGGCAGGACAACCTGGCGAGGGACGGGGGTAGTGGGCGTCTGATCTAGAAGGCTAGGCAGCCTTTGGAAGGGTGTCAAGGAACGCGTGCTGAGTCTGCAAGACCGGCATGTGGACATTTACTTGTTAGCTGTGATGGGACAAAAGGGAATTAAAGCAGAAACTAGGGGTCTCAAAAAAAAAATAATGGGTGTCCAGATTCTTGCTGGGTATAGTTAGGGCTACCAGATCTGGGTTGAAAAATCTGTATCTACAGACACTGTTGACACTACTACCACCCAACGGCCACCTGGATTCTTGCAGACCCAATACGGTAGTCCTAGAGATGGGGTCATCTAGCCCCCCAGGCACCAAAAGACTGCCCCCTCATCCAGAGGGCATCAGGTGGGAGGAAAGCTCTTTTAGAGGCTCCCACATATAGGAGGAAAGAGCTACCGCCTTGCTTCAATCTCAGCAGCTTAAAGGTTAACTGCCTCAGTTTCTCTATAGCTACTCAAATCCCTAGTAAAACTATCCTGAATTATTAAGTGAAAGCCTTGTTTCTCCTTCTTTTTCCTTCCCTCTTCCGCCTCCTCCACTTTTATTTTCCTTTCCCCTTTTTTTCCTTCCTCCTCCTCCTCCTCCTCCGTATGATTTCCAAAATAATGTCCTTTTCAGAGCCTCCAACCAACTATGGGCTTTTGGAGCACTTGATGAAAAAATGGAGTCATAAAGAGCCAGGGGTGATGAACAGCATCTACAGCGTTTCCTACCACAAGCCTCCCGTCTCAGCATACGCCCCTCGCCAGCGGCCCAACACCAGGCGCATCATGGAGGAGAGCCGCAAGCAGTGGCTCCCCAGAAGCCTTGACGCGCCTGCCTGAAAAGGGCAGAATGCCCCACCCTCCCTGCGGAGGGGAATTAAAGGCGGCACCGTAAGTTAACGATATTTTTCTAAGAGTAAAGCTCAGTGGAAGCATCGTCGACCACTTCGTGCAGGAATAAAGAGGCGGTGGGAATTTTATGGTGAGGAAACGGGAGCCAAGCAAAACCAAATCTTAGGGTTAGGGTTAGGGTTAGGCTTGCGTTAAATTGCACCAACAGTGGAAGATACAAGGAGGAGTTTGAAGAGCTGGCCAGTGTTTATGCTCCAATTCCGGATTTAATTTTAGAAGCCTTCCTAGCTCAATCACAATTCCAGAGACATAGAAAATGGAGTACGTAAAAGCCTTGCATGGATTCCCACTGAGAACTGCCTCCCGCACATGACCTGGCTTCATGAAACCTTGACACAACATTGGTTTTAGCTCTATGTGTCACTGGAGCTTGCAGGAAATAAAGACAATAAAGACGCTGGAGGCACAAATCGAATGTCATGGTTTTGTTTCCAGAGGGAGGGCACGTTGTTTGGATCAGATTAAGATGGATTAGGATGGCCAGGAAGCGATGCTGGCTGCCGGGTCCTGTCTCAGGCTCTGGAGGCTGCGGGGGGCTGGGCGGGAGCACGGGCTTCAGCTCAGTCCTAGCGAGACTGAGCGGCTTTGGGCTTGGGTGCCTGCCGGCCCCGGGGACTTGCCACCTTTGGCTCCGGATGGGGCGGCACTGCCACAAACAGTGCGCAATCCAGAGGTTCTCTGCCCAAAGAGCAGGTGGCAGCTGTGGCCAGCTGCGCCCATTCCTGGGCCGGGAGGCTCTACTCACAGTCGCTCATGCCCTGGTCACCTCTTGAATGGATTACTGTAATGCGCTTCACACGGGGCTGCCCTGGAAGAGCATCCGGAAGCTGCAGCTGGTACAGAATGTGGCGGCACAGGCAGTTACTTGCGCCCCTCGATCAGCGCACATTACACCTCTGCTCCATGAACTGCGCTGGTTGCCAGCTGGCTCCCGGGTTCAGTTCAAGATGCTGGTCGTGACTTATAAAGCCTTACTCAGCAATGGGGCCAGGTTGTCTGAGGGAGCGCCTCTCCCTGGCTCCATCTGCCTGCCCCAGCAGGACCAGCAGGAGAGGCATGTTACGTGGCATCTGGCAGGACCCAGGAAGAGCGCCTTTTCTTTTCTTTTTTCTTTTCCCCAACCGTTGAAAGGAATAGCGCAGTTGTGACTGAGCTCTTCTGAGCCCAGGACCACACCGGGCACTCTGGAGGATGTGGTTGGGATCCAGAAGCCGGGGGAAAATGGCAAAATATCCACAACACGGCTCTTCCTCTTGCAAGCCCGAGAGGCAATCTTCGACGACAACATCCCTGCAGAGATGCTCCCCAAGAGAATCAGCCGCCCTGTCTCCCAGCCTGACCCCCCCAGAGAGGATGCCCAGCTGTTTCTGGGCCAAAGGCTGCCCCTGATGCACGAGTAGGATGTTGGAAATGACTTCCATCCCAGGGACAGGACAAGGAAAAGTAAACAGGTGGAACAAAAACCCTCCTAGCCACCCCAGGGATTACTCAGTAGGGTTACTCCCCATGTAGTTAATACAGCTCAGGAGCAAGGTGTGGAAGGCCCCTAGTGAGGCACCCCAAGGCTCCTTGGGACTCAACCCCTCATCTGCCACTCAGGATGGCTGTAGCTCTTTAAAAAATGCGTCTAAGAGGGAGAGAGGGAGAGAAAGGCGAGGGGGAAAGTGGGCAGCAGGAAACTCCCTTCTGTCTTTGGGGACAGGAGCAGATGTCCCTGGAAAAAGGAGGCACAAGGAATTCTGTTCCCTTATGGATCTCTGAGGGTCCTATCCTGCCTTCTTCCCTTCTGGGGCTCCAGGCAGCTCTCCTTTCAGCCCCACAACCACCTACGGACTTTTTGCGGCTAAGCGGGGATGTGAACCTGGGTCTCCCAATCCTAAAGCAGCCCCTTTGCTGCTGTGCCTCATGGTCCCCCGAGATGTCTGTCGCCATGGCTCCCATTTGCCCCAGTGCCTTGACTGGGTATATTTGTCCTGGGAGGGGGGCGCAGTGTCGCCGCCGCCTTCTTCCCTCGCCTGCCCCAAGTTTCCCTAGGCCAAGCACCAGGAAATAAATCTGGCAGCGCCCGGTTTTGGAGACCTGACGATGGGCAACGTGTGCCTGCCACTTGGGGCTGGGAGGCCCGTCCTGAGCTTCAGGAGATCTGGCACGAGCGCAGAGGAATGGGCAGTAAGCAGCACGACACACGACTCTTTCCTTTCACATCTGCGGGGAGTCCGCAGTTTTATCAGCCAGCCCAACGGCTTTCCAGACGAGGACTGGAGTACCTGAGAGGTCGGGCAAGATGGCAGCGTGGCTGTAGCCTTTGTAAGGAGCTCCTCTAATAAGCTCCTTTCATCTTTATTTTATATACATTTCCAACTCGCCCCTCAATATTGGAGAGTTTGTTTTTCTTCTACGGGGCCTTCTCTGCCTATCTGTACTCTATTTATACTGTCAGGATCTGCGCAAACTAGAACCTTCGATTGCTTTTAATTTAGTTTTAACAATGTATATTAAATGGTTAATAGTAAAATGCTTATTGCAAACCACTTGCTTGAAGTCAGAAGGAAGGGGGGGAGAGGATGCCAGGTGCTGTTATCTTTACACAGGCATCTCCAAGGCCAAGCGCTGT